CTCCTGAAAAAGGGGTACCCCAACAACAGTGGCGTTTCCAAATAAATCAACCGTCTATAAAAAACTGAAAAATGCACGGGGGAGGCTTGTTTATGAGCCAGGGCGAGTCAAGTGATTTATAACAGGGTAAATGACAGAAACAGAAGCGGGATGTGCAAATACTTACAATACAACAAATCAAAAGTGGCAGGTCACTATGCCCTGAAGAAAATGCGTCCCTTTTGTGCAAGAAAAAGTGGACAAATGTTAGCATGCAGTGGCACTACATTTCACTCTAGTTGGCCTTTTTTCAGGAGTAGACTTTAAGAAGCAGATGGCAGGGTGAGGCAGGGCATGAAGGATTTTGGCAGAGACACTTTACTCTACATCCTCTGGGATTTTACTGTTTCAAATTTGGCTTAAATTGGGCCGCGACTTGGGCGAGACTGAGGCCAAGAGTTCAAACGCTCTCTTGGCCGCATATTTCAGCTGCAATAAAATTAGCAACAAGACAAAACAGGCTGCAGCTTCACAGCAGACTGTACGTCTCGGGCCCCACATTCTGTATGTATCACACTTCAGAAATATTACCTGCAACCACATGTTGGAGCTCAAAGAAGTGTGGATGGGAAAATTATATTTTCAGTTTAAAGAAATGAAGGCTAGTAATGGAGAGTCGGAGTCTGCCTTTGATCTCCCCCTTCCCACACGGACATTTACCAACACATGAAGCCATGCGTGCACCCTAACATAAACCTCAACACGCATTTTCCAGAAATCTTTTTACACACACACAATTACTCACACACAGTCCCAGACAGAACGTTGGAAATGAGTGTTTACATGTGTGTGAAACAATGACTTTTAAACGGACAACACTAAATTCAAAGATATAATTCAAGATAGAAAATAATTCACTTCAATATTAGTAATCACCACCTTTTATTCGACGTAATTAAAGCAGTGACAGGATAAGTGAATTATTTTTGTCTACTGGAGAACATGGCTTTTTTTTTTATCCAGCCTGAGGCTTGCCAAGAAGAAATTACTCATCTGCAACAATTTCTTCATGTCTGGAGACGTGGGGGGAAAACCCTAAGACAAAGGAATGAAATCAGTTGTTTCCCCACTCAAACACAGCAAGCCTCAGAAAAAAATATTCACTGATGCTTTTAAAATACAACAAAGGAGTGGAGCCAAGGTGCCTAACTAAACCTGTCAAATTGGCAGCATGTGCCTGTGTCTGGAAATGCTTTTCTCTCTAGTAACAACTCCCGGGAATTGTGGACTTCTCTTCTGTGAGACTCAAATAAATCAATCACCACGAGAGTGAATCACACTCCAGTGGTTTTAACAGTTAATATCCTGATGGTTCAGGCTGGTGCACACAGGAAATCAGCTACCAACCTGGTTAAATATTGCCTGCTTGGGCTCTTTACACAGGCCCACTCCAGCTTTATAGAAAACCCACACAAAATGTAACCAAAGAAACCTGCTTTTTTATTTCACTCCCTTCACAAATCAATTGTTCATTGCAAAGTATAACCTATGAAGTATGAGCTTTAATTATTACATGCAAAGAAGGGAATCTATGATACAGAGTTTAATATTACATATAATAAAAATACAGTGTTTTATATCTATAGTCAACGCTAAAATTAAACTTCAAATGTTCTTTATTTTACAAATCAAAACGACTGAATATCTTGTGACATATGACAAATTCCTTAAGAGGGTTTTTAATGTTATGGCACCTTAAATCCCCTCTTATCAGTAGTTTTTATATTAACAATGTGTCTATTGAGTGTGACTTTAAAAGAGGTAGCTCGTAGTGACAAACCCACCGAGCGTAACCACCCAAATCGTTTAGCTCAATTCATTTATTTTTACTTTATTAAGATTCAGTGTTAATGCTCTCATTAGCACCATTTTCATCCATAGAGGGCAGCAATGAAAAGCAATAAAAACCCACTGTACTCTAACTACTAAGCACTAAAGGACAGTGACAAAATAAACGACTATCCGGTTAATATCCGGGAGCATTTTGTAGCTGAAGGGCCTGATATTTCCCTCAGGAGTCGGTAGGGACCAAAAACAGAGCTTAAAGAATAATTAACATTGGACTTGTAATTATCGGGTTGCTTGAAACATTTTAAATGAAATTGTTGTTCTGTGAGCTGGATGTACAAATAAGCAACACTGACTTTAAATGGTAATAATATGTCAGTGTGAGTGTTGACTGCATGTTGTGCCACCCATTGGCCGAATAAATCAATTATTGCAAGTCAAATTGATCTAAATAAAGAAAATCAAAACTAAAACAATACTTAACCCCAACCTTCACACACCCAGGCACAGTCACGCACCGGCTTTCAAACTGATATGTACACAAGCTTACACACACACACACACACACACACACACACACACACACACACACACACACACACACACACACACACACACACACACACACACACACACACACACACACACACACACACACACACACACACACACACACACACACACACACACTGAGCAAAAGCAGGCTGGCTGTGTTTACTGTTTAGCCCTGCGTGTTGATGTGATGAGACACCCAGGCTGATAACACAGAGTACGGCCGCTCTGTGTTTGATCTCAGGGCCGGGGACGGGACAGCCGGCGGAGCGGGGTCAGCGAGGTGTGTTGTGTGCTTGATTACAGACTGGATGGGGGCCCCCGCGACCTCTTAGCAGGTCAGCTCTGAACCCTGACCCTGACACAGCAGGCCCTGACGCAGTGCTCAATGCTTTCTCCAATAACACAGTGGGATGAAAGGAGTAGCTGTGCGAGGACTGGACCACTTCCCCTCTGGACCTGAAGAATGTAGCACGACACAGCCGCGCACAGCGAAGGACGACTGGTGGTGTAGCTGGGCCAGTCTCTGGACATATGTGGGCCCCGCGCAATAAAAAGGAGACTTGTCGTCATGCCTCTCCAACCTGATCAATTGCACCAGTGGAGACCTTGCCCTTTCCCACAGGGTAGCAGAAGGAGAATACCCGTACACTTTCACTTAGAAAAGGACAACAAATGTGAACCTTTTCTGATCTTTTGTTTCAATATTTTAGTAACCGCTGTGTTGCATTGTGTGATAAGTCATTTCAGATCATTCTTACGGTTCACAAAGTTAAACAACTGCCTCCATCAACAATGAACCCCATGGCGCCAATGGGCAAACTCAGCAGATTCCTACAAAGTGACAGTCCGCTGCGGTGAAGGTGAAGTAGGTAAACACCCTCACCATTAGCTTCCTTCAAGGCACCTGGGTCAGCCAAGTGTTAAGTGACAGCGGCACATTCATCACCCCAGAAGATATTTATTTTGGCTGCAGAGAAGCAACACTTGCAAGTATCGATCTGAGCATGTGGTGTGCGTTGAGGAATGTCAGAGATAAAGATTTCGTCTCTGCAAGCGCATGTTTGTCCACCGATGACGGCGGCGTGCAAGCACTCAGGTGTTTGAAGCTCGGAGAATGTAAGATAATACCGTCTCGCCTGTGAGAGCGAGCCAAGTCTGAGGGGAAACGTGATCTCTAACTCTCCCTCTCTTTCTGTGAGGAGCGTACTCGGTGCTTCTCTCTTTTCTGTCAGCTTCACCGGCTGGCAGGGGTAGGAGGGTGGAGTCAGGTGCCACTTTGTGTACGTCAGTCTTTGCGAGTAAGACAATAGAGGAGTCTGCTGATTGGATTTGGTAATCTGTACAGTGGGTGGAGGAGTGGATCCTCATGAGGAAACACTTTCTTTTTTTGGGAAACCAGAGCGTTTATTGTAGAGACAGAATTGAAATGGGAAAAAGGGGGGATTTCATGTGGCAAGTGGTCCTGGTCTTAAGTCGAACCCAGGTCTACCCTGTTGAGCTATATGGAGGCCCGCAAACTCGTTTTTTTTATCTACATTGTTTAAAATATACTGTAGTAATGCAGTAGCTCTACGGATAGCATGATCAGTCAGTTGGTTTGTCGTCTACTTGTATGGATTACCATGAAGGTTTTTACATTACATTTTATTCTAGCTGACGGTTTTATCTTGTATCATGGTCCTCAGAAGATGAATCCCACTGACTCTCGTAATCCCCTGATTCTTCCTCTATCACCACCGGCAGTTTAACATTTTAATCTATCCAGTAAAATATCTAAACATTACGACATGGATTAGCTCAGTATTTTGTCATGAAATGTAAATGTCCCTGATGATGAATCCTTATGACTTAGTTAGTCCTAGCCACTTTTCCTCTAGCGGCACCGTGAGGTTGATGATTGTGATTTTGAACAACATTTCTCAACAGCTATTGCATGGATTACCATGACATTTGGCTGAATGTCCACCCCCCCCCCCCCCCCTACACACTTTGTAATTCCCCTAACTTTTCATAAAGCGACATTATTAGATCGAAATATAAAAAAAACACTTTGGTTTATGACGTTTTACTTCTAAATCCAATGACATTCAGCCTGTGGATTGTTTTGTTTGTGCTAAACGGCAAATGTTAGCAAGCTGACTATTATGGTTAGCAATGCATGGTAAACCTTATAATCTGCTACCATTGCACTTGAAACAAATCACAGTAGTATAGTGTTCCTTGCCTGGATTCTTTACTGCTCTCTAGCTGTATACTCTAGCCTCTCCTTTCCAAATTGGACACATCCAAAATATATACATGCATGACAAATTCCCCTCCTTTTCCATCAAGGAGATAATTTCATTTTAATGACAGTTTGTCTGAGACAGCCTCCTGACAGCGTTGCCATAAATCCACAGATCACAAGTCTGCGCCTCTCTTCCTCACCTTACCCCCAAGACACTTACCTCCCCTTCCAAAAAGGTGAGTCATCCTCCACCAATCAAAGGGCCGCACAAATAATCACTCACCTCAGACCTCCCCTGTTTTTGATTTGTACGCTTGATAGTGTCTTTTCTCTGCTTTAATTGCAAGCTCTTTTCATCATAATTTGATGTTTGTTTCCTGTCGTTTTCTAGGAGATGGCCGCAAGCGCGAGGGCTATCATTTCTACTTCAAGGAAGTTGTTAAGAATGACTAGCAGGTGGAATAGACAGCAGAGGAGGGATTTCACCAGCAGACTCACCTGGCAGGTGAATTTAAGAGCTGATATTGACAAATCATCGCACTGAACAGGCGGCGGACGCTCACACATGCAGACAGAAACACACACACACATGCATTCACAGCACGAGGCGCGAACGGGAGATAATTAGGGTAATTTTTGTTTGAAGTATTTTGCATTGCAATGAAAATAGAACAGATAAAAGATGAGACAATAATAGATCTAAAGAGGACCTTGACTGAGTGTTGTTCCAACAAAGAGCATTTTGTTTGACACAATTCATATTGTCTGCTAAACTGATATGCTTTCCCAACTTTACAAGAGGAGGGAAAAAACATCATCTTAACAAAATGTGCTAAATTTGCATTATGCTCATCAACACTCGGCATGTCGCCACGATGTGTACAACATTAATGTTTGAATTTGTTCTACAGATTGACTTCTGGTTTTTAGATAAGGAATCGAAAACCGCTGATGATAAATTATGCCGTGTGTATTGATATATTCCTTCCTTATATAACATGCAAAATGGAGTATCTAAAGTGAGAGAATACTGAATTCAGGTCACCGCGCAGCAGGAAATCTTCCTTTTCATGTGAGATCCAGAGGGGTCACTCTTATGAACTCATTAGCAGAGAAATGCTAATGTAGCTCTGTTTTTTCCTCCTCCTCCTCCTCTCCTCCCTTCTCTCTCTTTTCTCTCCTTTTCAACTTCAACCAGGAGTGCGATACACCGAGCCTCGCTGGAGAATATCGTGTATTTTGATGTCAGGAGAAAGTGTGTAAGGTGGCTCTGACAGCGCCTTCATTAGAGAGGCTGTCGCTCGTCGCCTTGTCATCAAGTCGCTTAACTAGAGTTATAACACAGCAACACAAAGCATCGTCTTTATCTATCCTGGGGTTTCACTGATGTCCTTATTCTACTGCTATAAAAGGATTCATTTAAAATAAAAAAAAGGTGAAAATGTATATTGCTGAGGAAAATACTGAATGTACATCAGTGTAGTATCGTGCTGAACAAATGACCCCTCCTCACTTCTCTGCAGTGGTCTCTCATCATGCAGCAGAACACATTAAATAATGAATCACTCAATAACTCAAAACCTCCACAAACTCTGCTTCGCTTTGTAAGAACAGAATACACAATTATATACATGTTATTGTGTATATAGGGTTATCTTTAAATGTCCGAAGCAGAAGACAAATCAATACGTCACATGTTCTTCTTTTACAGGTTAATACAAATCCTTAAAGAATGATGTAACATTTGAAATGATATTCTAGAGTTGAAAAGGTTAATCAATATTAATTTCATAATAATCTACCTTGTCTTTTGTTATTTAACTGACTCTTGTACTTTTTTTGGACGAAGGGTTATACGTTCTACCTCATCTGCTTCTTAAAAATGAACTGTCCGTTTTATTTTATGATTCAATTTTCTAGATTTTATTAGTTTCTAATATTGACAACACAACGCCCCGCTGCTGTGTGCACACATCGATTATCGATCATTACCAATATTATATCTATTTTCTCCATTATGTCACCGAATGGACAGAAACATGTATAAAGCATTGTGATATCACCAAAAAAAGAGGTGTTTCATATATTATCTGCATTAAGAAATTATATATATATATTATAATTACAATGTGTTATTTTAAATGGAAACTAAGGGTCAGATCTATATTTTTGTATTGTTAAAATCCCTTGTTAAGATCCCAAACAGAAAAGCCATTTCCTATAATCATTTAAAAATCATATTCATATCAATTGACATGTCATAAAGTATGAAGATTATTAAATCACTTCAGTTTGTTCTTGGAGCTGTTAAGAGGGCCTGAAGTCTCAAAGACCGCAAAAAGGAACAATTAGGATTAAGGTGATATCCTTAACAAAGTCTTATATGTTGTATTTTATAATATCTTTCAGTGCCAATAAACCAAAGCCAAAAACCACACATGAATCATTTAGTCCTGTGATTTATTTAATCTGTTTCATTTTTGGATCTCTTCACCTCTTACCTCAGGCCCTGCAGGCCTGTACTGTCTCTTTTTAGTATCTTAATAGGCCTACCAAAAATCGTTTTACCCTCTGATTTCCCCCTTTCACTCAATGTTACGATTAAAACCATATCCAAGGTGAATGCTGCAAAAGACACGGAATATCAAAATAAATTCCAAGGCAATGAGGTTGTTCCCAGCGTGGTTTAAGGGTAGTGGTGGATGAAGGTAGCATCATTTCACATCGTGCCAGGAAAAAGTGGCGGATAATTAAATGAAAGAAGAAGTGTAATTAGGCAGAACCAACACTTTCCCCAGAGTGGGAAGGGAAGCAGCCAGAGTTTATACCTTGTTTCACATGTTCTACTTCTGGCTTTAAACAAGAAATATACTGTTGAAGTTTTTATTTCAATGAAAGGTTTGCTTGTTCGGGTCTGTGAAATCTGTCTAATTAACGCTCTCTATTTCAGTGCTGTGTTTACACGTTTGTGTCTGTATGTGTAAGTGCAGTGGTGGAAAGTAACTAATTACATTTACTCAAGTACCATACTTAAGTTATATATTTAAGGTACTTGTACTTTACTTGAGTATTTCAATTGTTTGCTTCTTTATACTTCTACCCCACTACAATTTACAGGTAAATGTGGTACTTGTACTCCACTACATTTTGTTGGTGCCTTTGCATAAATGGATTAATGATGTGAAATATAAACAACACCTAAATAAGGCTTCAGTTGCACTTGGAGTAAAATTCACATACCCTGCCTGCAGGTACTATTTTTACTTAGTACTTCTTGCGCCTCTGCTTGTCACATGTTTCTACTTCAAAATGTTTGGCTTGAAACAAGAAATATAATGTTAAAGTTTGTATTTCAATGAAAGGTTTGCTTGTTCGGGTCTTCCTGTGTGTGAAATCTGTCTAATTAACTCTCTCTCTTTCAGTGCTGTGTTTACGCGCGTGTGTTGGTGCCCGTATCCCGCGTGCGCGTAAGTGTGGGCGCGTGTGGGAGCGCGCGCTTTCCGCTATACTCTGGAATGCAGCCAGTCTCTTTTGAATCCACACTCTGCTTCCAAAAACCAAAAGCCTTTGATCTTTTTTTTGCTGTGTCCTTACCCGGAAGAGAACCCCTTCTCTCTCTCAATCTCTCTCTTTCTCTCTCTTTCTCCCCCCCCCCTCTCTCTCAGCTGGGATGAACGCACACGTGGAAATGTTGGCCCGGTTCCACACTCGGACCAAATTTAGTCATACAAAGGCAAGGGGAGAGCGAGGAGGGAGGAAAGGGTGGAAGAGGGAGGTGGTGGTGGGTGGGTGGGGAGTTGGGGATGAAAGAGCCAGCCGCCGAAAGATCAAAGGCAGCCGCGGCTCCGCCCCGCTAACCCCACCTCCGCGCTTTATAAAGATCTGCCTCCCCATCCCAACTTTATTCTCACGCAATCTCTCCCTGCGCAGACACACACAGAAACACCACTTCTGCTGCCTTTCTGTTTATTTTCTTTTAACTCTATTTTCTCATGAAGTTCTTATTTTCTTTTAATCAATTCCCCCAATATTTTCGTTGCTCTTCCCGTTTGTCATTTTTAATTAATAACACACTTTATTATTAATTTATTTTGTGTAGCCTATGTGGGTGCATTTTTGTTCAATAACACTACGTGATGGTGTGCCAATTTTTTCAATAAGGCTACAGTGTTTTTGTGTGTGTTTCCGATCAAATGTCATCCTTACCATTTTATATATATATATATATATATGATAATGGATCACATATGTGTCAATAAAACGTTATGTATGTTAATTTGGGGTCCCTTACATGAAAACATTTAGCAACCCCTGGCCTTTTCTCAGTTATTTCGTTTGACTCGTCCCTTACTTATCATTGTTGTTATCTAGCTATGGGACAAAAATACTTGAAAACAACATTATTTTGTTGGATAGCAATAGCATACATTTTATATTTGCACATATTGTAAGAAAATATGGAAAGCTCTAGAACAACCATGCCCTTCATTTGACCAATGTAATTTGAATACAGGTACAAAATAAACATAGAAAAGACAACCATTCAAATGTTGTTGAATAAATACACAATTAAACAAACAACAAATCTATATGACCTTATTATAGTACGGTGACAATGCATAGCCCCAATACAAGCCCTTTTAGTTTTCTTCTTCTAATGGGTATTTCTACACAAAATAACGCTATTGTCAGTTATTGCGTTTTTGATTAAATGTCACCTCTTCTCAGTCTGCCAAAAAAGCTTGTTTTGTTCTTCCTCTATTTCTGATATCATTTTTATTTAACATGATTGTTTTTAACCCATTACACACACACACACACACACACACACAGCCTCAGCTCTCCTCCTGCCCATTTGTTGTGAGCTGAGTATAACCCTCTCTCTCAGGAGGAGTGTCAATCAGAGCCTCGGCTTCCCTTTCATCTCTCCTTCCTCCCAATGACTGAAGAGAGAGGAGGAGGGAGCACGGCTACATTACCAACATACACATACACACACTGCTTACATTACACTGTGGAAGCAGTGCGGAGCAGTGGGAAGTCGGTCCACGGCGGTTTTCCTTCTCTACTTCTTTTCTGATTGTTTTATGACTTCTCCTTTTATCCCTCCTGCGTTGAGGATGTATTTTGAAGCCGCGTGCAGCGTTGCTCGTTGTCTTATCTGAGTGTCACAATTCTTCCAGTTGCACATCCATCCTTTACCTTTTCACCTCCAGACGGTGTTTTGGTTTTGTTAGCTCACTTTTTTCCTTACATTTTTCCAAGGACGAAACATCTTCTGCATTGGACCACCGAGGAAATATTTCTCACTTTTATAAATGCACTTTTCTTTTTTACTGGACCATATCCGTCGTCGGTTTGGTGTGTGTTGACTGAAAAACTAGTGATGAGATTTTAACTCGTGGTTTGTCTACCTTTTTTATTTTTGCCTCATGACATTGAGGCGTGCACCGGACTCTCTTTCTGAGCCTTTAAAACTCAAGTGTTTAGGGTGTGAGTTTCTGTGTGTTTTAGTTTAAACACAACCACACACTCCTCCTGTTGCTCCAGTGAAAACACACCGGCAGCGTGTTTGCACGCCGCTTCCTCTCCGACTGACTCGCCGGTCTACGCTCCGGTTAAAGACGGGGACTCGGTTTCGGGGGATTTTAGTGGGAGTTTTCTCCTCCGTAGTTTTGGACAGTGCTGTGCTTTCAGTTTTCTTGGTGAAACAGTTAAAAACAAATACAAAATGCCACAGTTATCAGGCGGCAGCGGAGACCCGGAGCTGTGCGCCACGGACGAGATGATCGCGTTCAAAGACGAAGGAGACCCGCACAAGGAGCAGATCTTCGCCGAGCTCAGCCACTCTGAGGAGGAGGGAGACCTGGCAGACATCAAGTCATCTCTGGTCAACGAGTCAGAGAGCAGCCCCAACAGCAACAGCCACGATGTGAGTAATGTACTGATGTGGTGAATGGTGAGAAAGAGGCATCAACTCTGAACTCCAACAGAGAGGAAACAGCCTCGAGAGAAAAGTGTTTTTAATCAGTCAAATACCTGGCTTTCATTTAGCTTTTGGCACTGTTTTATTAAACAGTACTCTGGCTTTGTCTGAAAGCTGTGATATATTAAAATATGGGATGCTTCAAAGGGCAAATTGACAACAAAGGCCTAATATTTACTTCCTCCTGCTTAGATTTATATATGTCAAGTATTGTTATACAAAATATGTATTTTATATAAAACATAACAAGCTGAGTTCAGGTGCATTTATAACCTCTTTTTTAAATCAAAAGCTGTGATGATACATACTTGGTCTGCACACATTTAGCCTACTCATGTAACATTTGAAATACCCAATACTTATATTTTTGGAACATTACAGACATTAATGTGCAGTGACATTTGAAAAAACAAAACGATTTGTTACGATGTGAGAATTGAGGCCTTTTGTGCTGCCTGTGACAATGCAAGCTGCACGCTGTTTGCAGGGGAACACTGTAACCTTCAGCAGTTGTAAAAACCAGAACACATTATTAATATAGACAACATATATTAATAATTTATTTTAATGAGCACACTTTGTCAAATAAAACCAAAATGAAAGGGCAGTATTTCCTTTTTTACCCGGATGACAATATATTCCTACGTCATTCTCCTATTTCATTATTGTCGTGTTTGTTAAATGGTTCCCAAGAATGATTTGTGCATATGTTGGGGTTAAGAAAAAGAGATACATGTTTACATCTGAATCTGTTGTTGCCTTTCCTTACTGATAATATAAAAAGGAGGCAATACCGGAAAATCAGTCAAAACAATTGTGTTAATGCATATACAGTAGAACTATTATTTATGATGAATTTTTTATGTTTCTAAAATTATTTATTTCATACCTTATATTCCCTACATGCAATCAGCCAGTTTACAAGCTTCCTCAAGACAGCGTAGTCAACAAACGTCACAGTTAAAATGTGTCTTTTCTCCTGCATCAGTCTGCCTGGCTCCATCCTCAGGATACAGACTGCAGCTTCCCCATCACAAAGTTAGACGGCTCTATTTGTGATTAAACCGCAGGTGGTTAGTGACATTTCGGGCACATCCTAACGAGACTGTACATATTCCTCATCGAATGTCTAGAGACGCACGAGACAGAGGCTGAATGTTAATTAGGAATCCAGTGAAGTTTCCTCTCTCAGCTTGAAGCCATCCTGAGGGGACTGAACTCCTAAAAGAGGTCCTCTTCCCAATTCTGATTCAGAAAGAGAAAAAAAAGAAAATGGATGTGCGAAAAGCGTGGTATTTTTTTTTTCTTCTTCGTCATCTTCTATTTTCATGGGTTGATTTTATTTCACTTTGCACTGAGGCTTTTAATTTGTAACACAAATACACTCCATTTATTTGAATTTAGAAGAAGGCTTAAACTGAGAGATGAATTTGAGAGTGGACCTATGGTATTGAAAAACAAGTTAATTTATAATCTCCTTAAGGACATGAAGCTTAATTAAGTGGTTCTATTGAAGCTTTGATGCAGGCTGCTCCATCACCTCTCTAGATGCTAGTGTGTGTGTTCCTGCATTTGTCCCAGCAGTGTTTGTGGGTGTCTGACCGCATCAGCGTGTGTGTGTGTTACTGCGTCTGAAGGCCCTCCTAATTGATTCACCATCATTTCAATGTTTAATTATTTTTTACAGGGAATGAGACAGTCCCAAATGTCGCAAGATTCATATCACGAAAAACACAGAGACCACATGGAAGAAGGTAAGTGACACCGCCTTTAGTGAGAGCTTGTTAAATCAGCATGTTTTATATGACAGCCAGCATGCAATAAAGCCTGAGATGTTCTGAACAATTCACCGCAGCTTGAGAAGTGGAGGTTTTTAGGAGACAGTGTGAAAAAGTGTCAGTCTCGTTTTCCCCACACAGGAGGAGTCACACTCTTACTCTGTTGGCGCTCTTCTTATCAGAGCCCCTATCCCTGCTGCTCTCGGACAGATACTCTCTGATCCAAGTCTAGTCAGGACATGCTTCACCTTCATGTACCTGTTCCCTATCTGCTAGATGAGGGTGCCTGCAGAACCAAATTATAGTTAAATTAAAACATCTCAAGTTTGAATTCTCAGAACAATCATTATAGCACAAGTCTAGAACTGAACATAATTCATAATTGCATTTCTATCTCTTGTGTTTCTTATTATGAAATTATCCGAATAAACAAATTCCCCACATGCATCAGCTCTTCAGTGCAACATGTTGCTGCCGCTCGGGGGCTCTTTGCTCTCTGGGTATTGTAGTCTGACCCCGCTGCTGCAGGTCATCATTAAGGCTTTGAGGAGGAGTGTGTCTCCTCTTTGTTCCCCTTTCACCCCTCAATAGCATCCCCTCAAACCAAACACTGGCTTTCTTCACAACAAGATCCATGTAGCCATCAGGCAGTATACCACAAACACTCCCAACCCCCCACCCCCACCTTAGGCCTTGATACACAGCGCTCGGTTGAGTGGTGAGTGGCGCTGCATTGAGGCCTCTTCGCTCTACAAAGCTCTGCCTCTCGGGTCAAAGGCGTAGAGGAACAGTTGGGGCGTCTCCTGTTTTGACACAGTCTGTATGTTCTTCTAATTGGTGCTAATTGGCGCAGAGGGGCTCCATTGTTCCTCTGTATAATATGACCCTCCTCTCCAAGACGGGAAGAAAGGGCACAAACAAAAGGCCGAGGCGAAATGGGGCGCGGGTTAAAGCGATCCGCAGTGATATCATTACAGCGTCCGAACTTTGTTCAGCTGTATCATGATTTATTAGCTGTAGCGTATTTAGTATATGTAATATTAGTTCATGTTATTAAAGCAAATGGAGCTGTGATGTTGATAAATACAAGAAATGCCTCATGTGACTTTTGAAAACACGCAGTCAATTTAACTTATTTACCCTTTTTTTTTGTTTGTATCAGCAAAACTCCAAGACCTGTACAGTAAGGGCCATCAGTACCAGGGCTACCCGGGCTACAGTATCATGATGAGCAACATGAACGACAACTACATGAGCAATGGCTCCATCTCGCCGCCCATGGCCAGAACGGTCAGTACCATATCTCTAAATGTAAATGTTAGCTTATCAGTTTGATGGCAGGAATGTATATCTAGAAAAATGACTCCGAAGCTGATTCTATCATTATTGCTATTTTATTTGGTGGTTTAAAGGTAAGGTTTATGTTTCCTGTTACGCTGTTAAACGATGCTAAAAGTGCTGATTTGAAACAAGAGATTTGTTTTGTTCATTAACACACGCTTGTGGGATGGAAAGTAAAAACAAGGAGGACAGTCATGTTGCACTTGCTCAGGTTAAAGTGAAGTTCAAGCGCTTTCTTCGTCTTTCAGATAAAACAATAAAGTGAAGTGAGAAGCGTTGTTTGTAAACTCTGTCATAGTTAAGCTCAAATATCCGTGTGAAGTTACATCAGCAGAATGTCTGAGGCCCAGGAAGGAAAGCGACTTGTTGCGCTCCGGCCCAGAGACTCTTCGACACTGTCTCAGTTTGAAAACATCTTATGATCCGTTTTTTTCATTGATAAAGTCAAATTAAATTAATTTCTATTAATCATTTTACATTACAAAATCAGCACTTTGAGAAAGGATATGGTCTTGAAAATGTGAACTTGTTTCTGGCTCTTATTTTAAGTTGATTTTGTTTGCAACTTAAAAAGTAAACATTTCAAAGGTTTGATGTTTTCAAACTGAAGTTTTTGGCTTTATTTTTCCACTGTGAATTGAATACATTGTGGTTTGAATTGTTGACGCAGTTTTTAGAGCTGTAACAAACCTCTGTACGGCTGCTCCTCCTTCTAGATAAAGTAGCATATTTCTAACTTAACAAAGCTCTATATTATTTAAAGACCGCATTTCTTAACTGGCATAATAACACTTCCCATGTCCATCATGTCAGTGTTGTTGTTACCTGTGTACAATATTTACCCTTGCGTTCTTCCATTGTTGACGTCCTTCCCCTTGACGACCATATGTGACGAGTGGAAACTGAATGCCTGCCATACTTTCCAGAAGATTACCATGAGATATACAGTATTTCTCATCTTGTTAAAATCTTAAGTGTTGCATGTCTACATGACCCGAGTAAAGCCCTGTAATTAGCCCGGCACGACAGAGGAGGCAACACCACGTCTGTGATGCTGTCCTGCTGAGGAGTGCACAGTCCGGTCCAGGGGTGTGTGTGTGTGTGTGTGTGTGTGTGTTGCTGCAGATATCGTCCTTGTAATGGTATTCATTTCAGGCCAGCTGCAGGTCTCACTGGCGGCTTCCTGTGTCTGTCCCGTTTGCAAATTTCTCCTCTGAAGACAGACATAAAAACGCAGGGCACACCAGCAGCTGTCCACTTTAATCCTGTTTTGTCCGAGTCTCTGTATCACACTCGGGAAAGACAACCAGCCACAGTCTAGCCATGGTTTGGTGCCCCCGTACAGGAAACACTCACACAATCCCTGGGTTGTTTGTGCTTTTTGCAGTGCACACACGTTAGTTTCATCAGGCTAAAGTTGTGTAACATGAGCCCTGCGTCATTATAAGAATCGGCTTTGGGAGGCAGATGTGATTGTCGGGGGCAGATGCCACATGCTGTGTGTAAAGGAACTTCATTCACACGCAACTCTATCACGGGATGATGTTAAAATTGCATTGCTTTTCCCTCTGCCAACGTTGCAGAGGGTGAAAGTATGTGACATTGTAGAGAAAATGTGATTACCTCATGATTTGCTCTGTTCAGAGTGGTTTATGAAGTAGGGGTGTGACGTTTTCCAAATTAAATTTTTATGGCTCGTTTTCTGGTCAATTTTATCCATCATTCCATCATATTCACGAGAAACAAAAAGGGTCTGAATGGAGACCAGCTGACTGTTGGAGAGGAAATTACCCCTCACTGCAGATGAATTAGGCCAGGCAGTTAGGCAGTGTAGTCGCTGCCAAAACTTTTAAAGCCCCGCTTTCATTTCATTTACCATGGCTGCTTTTTTTTTTTTCACCCAATTTCCCCCCCCCCACCCTGTCTTCAATAAAACGGTAGTCGTTTTATATACGTTTCTCTCACTTATCCAATAAAGAGAGCCGGGGCTTGGTGTAGGGATCGCGGAACATGAGTCTTCTGGCTTTCTCACTGATGTCAGCTCGCTGCCGGCCACCGCAGCCACAGTATCTGCAGGCCTGGGATCGGTTTTCACTGAGATCAAAGGCACATTCTCCCTTTCATTCTCTTCCATCCCCAGCCCCAACGCCGCCCCCAATCCCAGTAGTTTAGATTGATTTCCATTGACCATGACATTCCTGCACATGCAGTACAGTCATGATGGAGCTGTTGGGAGTAGCTGATTGTCAGCAGATTTTCGGGGGCTTCCAGCCTGTTGGGTCGCCTCCACCGCAAGAGAGTTTGGTGTCAAGATGCCTCGTGGTGTTCAGTTGCTAATACACGTTGACCACTTCAAAGAAGCACTGGTGGGTTATGAATACCCTCGTGTTTACGTAAACCTATAGCTGTTTTAGGATGTGGAGTCTGTGAGGTATCCTGAGCAGAAAGTGAAGTGTGTTCGGGGGTTGATCCACTTGGGAGGTGAATCCTTCTTTACAATAAGCAGAAAAAGCATGGTGTATATTTGACATGCTTGTGCCCGAGTAGCTTAATGTTATTGTCTGGTTTGCATTTATCTATTTTATTCTGGAACATTTGGTTAAATTAGCAGACAATATCTTTATCAGGGTTTTTGTATTGGTTCATAGCATTTGGACTTTTGAGGAATGTGTTTATTTATTTCATTGATGGTCAGACTTAACATTTAATCAGTAATATAGGGCTAAAAGTGTGTGTGTGTGTGTGTGTTTTTAAAAAGGGGAAGAATAGTTTTGTGTTTTTGCGACTGTTCTATTGAGAAAATAAAGATGTTTTATTCAGATTGATATTCCTTAACGGTACTGATATGTTTCCAAGAATACATTTTCAAAGCATTGAGGACATCCTCACTCTAGGTTTGATCTGTGGAGGAAGACAAGTTCTGTCTGTGTGTTTTGGTTTTGTCTTTTAAATAAGTTGTCCTGCAGCCTCTTGAACTCACGTGAGGATTTAAAAAGAAAATGACAGCTTCTAAAGATCCACATGCTCTTGATAGACAGTCCATATTTTAAATGCCCTGAAATCTATTCTCAGAATATTTTGCGGGTATCCCACAAACATCCGCTTTTGTTAAAATCACCAGCTCCTGTTATACTTCAATGGGATTAAAGAAACCCTACAACCTCTGAGCTCATGTCATCCTACAAAACCCTTTAAATAAACGTATAAATGCATGGTTGACACGATAAAGACACAACTGCGTGTTCGTGGTTCTGAAATGTTGATAGTGCGGAGATACAGTACAAGGGTTTTCACCTGACTGTGAAGATGTGTTGGGGATCTCCTGCTGTGTTGGAAAGGTCTTGAGCAACAGCTTGAGGAATGAATAGAATCGCTGATTTCTTCTTCCTTAAAGCCGAGTTTTGCTGCTCTGTTGAGGGGGAGAGTTAAGAGAGCTCCCTCCTTTGCCGTGCACTCTTTTTTCCCTTTGGACCTTCAATTGCAGATCCTCATGGCGAGAAGGAGGGGGGTGCAGCGCTGTACTTTCCTTTGATGTAGTGGGAACGTGACGGATCTGCTAGCCAGTGTCTCGCAGCGTGGAATCACTAACCCAGGCTTACCTAACGGGATTTGGTAGGACCGCTCTGGTGTCCCTCAGTGCCATGTGTGTCCTCAGCTCATGCCCCCAGCACTACCGTGGAAGATCCCTGTTAAAGAGAACACTACATTTACCAGCAGCCTTCCATGTCCACACTGAACGTTGTAGATGGCACCTTGTGTAGCTTTTCTTGGTCTCACTATAGGGTGGAAAGTAGCATTTTGTCTTTAAGGAGCTGGACTCCATTGATCATCCCACTTTAGTCTAATTTTCTTTACGTTCGGTCTAAACATGTATATTTTAATCTACAAATAAATGAAGCGGCATATAGTAACTGTCAGAAGCAGACTCATTATTCCCTCATTTATTGCTGTATGTAGCAAATCAGTACATATCAAAGAGTTACGCTAACATTGATGACATCTGCTGTGCAGCTCCATCAAGTGTGTGTGTGTGTGTGTGTGTGTGGTGTGTGTGTGTGTGTGTGGTGGTGTGTGTGTGTGGTGTGTGTGTGTGTGTGTGGTGTGTGTGTGTGTGTGTGTGTGTGTGTGTGTGTGTGTGTGTGTGTGTGTGTGTGTGTGTGGTTGTGTGTGTGTGTGTGTTTGTGTGGTGTTGTGTGTGTGGTGTGTGTGTGTGTTGTGTGTGTGGTGTGTGTGTGTGTGTGTGTGTGTGTGTGTGTGTGTGTGTGTGTGTTGTGTTGTGTTGTGTGTGTGTGTTGTGTGTGTGGGTGTGTGGTGTGTGTGTGTGTGGACCTCACACAGAAGAAACACTTGGAGTCTTTGTAGTGCCGCTGGGTCGTGGTGTTTTTTAAAAAGCATCGTTAACGCCAAGGTTTCTCATGGTCCTCCGCTGCATGGTGATGCTGGTTGACACATTTACTCCATATGCACGGGGCTAATGACGCCATGTGGTTGCAATCACCTTATCAGTGTGTTTCATCTTGTTAAATGGAGCTCAGCGGACTGATTTGTCTACCAGGACCAGGAGATATGCATCGATGTGTAAGATGAGAACCAGCAATAGGACGATCCAGGTTTAAGTGTATGGTGGATTTTAATGACTGATTTAAGCATAAAGATAGTTTTATTTCTTTATGTTTATACTCTTAATAAGATGATGAAACAAAAAAACAAGTGTTTTGTGTTCTTGAAGTATTATCATTCTTCTAAAATAAAGCTGACACTTCCAATGTTAAGGCATTTAATCACGTAAAAAAACGCAGAGAAGGCATTATATGACAAAATAAACAAGAGGTGATTGAAGATAAAACCCAGCTATAGATCATCGGCAGTGGCTCAGGGGTGAATGGGTCGTCTACTGTCTACCGGTTTAGGTTTCCATGGCAAGATACTTAACCCCAAATTACTACTGAAGCCATGTCTATGGTATTGAGTTGAGTGGAAGTTGCTTTAGATAATACGTCAGCTAAATGACATACAATGTATCAAGTCATTGAATGTTCAAAGTGCTGAAAACG